GTATAATATCGTATAATCTAGACAAAAATTATTTATTAATTAGTCTGTAAAATATTGGCTAACGATTAATCTAATCATCAAACTATCATTAAAAAATCTTAATTAAATCTTCCATATATCTTTTAAATAATATACTAATTATCATAATGATATTTGAATATTTTGTTAATAAAATTAACCAATATACAACATATTTTCCTAAAATCTTTAGGCTATCGGCTAGTTTTTTTTACTATCAAATCTGTTATAAGCCAGCATACTATCGGCCTGCTATCATCTAGGCTGATTATTTGAAGATATAAGAAGGTTATTTTTGATTTCAACCAGTGTCATTTCTCTATTAAACTTATATATACTTTCTTTATGTTATCTTATACTTTCTGCTTTTAATTGATTACTCAATTAATTATCTTGTTTTACAATCAACACCTTACAAGTATCATATAAAACATCTAATTGCATTTTTGACCTTACTATTATTCTTCACTTTAATAATCTGATCCTTTATTTCTTCTTATTTATCTAAGAAATCTTTATACAATATTCATACCAAATGCAAGGACTATTCAAAACTATTTGACATTATTTTACTTTATTTGCATACAAAAATACATATTTATTTTATTTAATCTCTTGTTACTATGTATTTTAAAATTCTGCTGCTATATTTTATTTTATTTTATTTTATTTTTTTTTAATCTTCAAAGTATATTTTATTTTATTTAATATACTTTTAATATATTTCTATATATTTTTAAAAGCTAGTTGCTACATTTTAAATTAAGTTTTTCGTCTAAAGGTTTTTACTTCGCCCTTTTAACCCAGCTAATTAATATACAAAATTCTTTAATAAATAATAGTTTGTCTTTAATTTTTAGATGAAACTATTAAAATTTTTTATTTTAAATAAATAGAAAATATTAATAACTATTATTTCTATATAAACTACAACTTGAAACCAACTAAATTTAAGTCAAAAGCATAGCTTTGAACTATAGCTTAAAATTAAAATACAGCTTTGCACCATGTCTCAATATCAAAAGCTATGCTTTTGACATTAAGCTACAGTTTGAAATCAACTAGATTTAAGTCAAAAGCATAGCTTTGAACCATAGCTTAAAATCAAAACACAGCTTTGCACCATGGCTCAATATCAAAAGCTATGCTTTTGACATTAAGCCACAGTTTAAAATCAACTAGATTTAAATCAAAAGTATAGCTTTAAACTATAGCTTAAAATCAAAAACACAGCTTTGTACCATGGCTCAATATCAAAAGCTACATTTTTGACATTAAGCTACAGTTTAAAACCAACTAGATTTAAGTTAAAAATATAGCTTTGAATCATAGCTTAATGCCAAAAGTGTATGGCTTAAAACTAAACTTAATCTAAATAATTTTAACTCATATCGAAATCAATTTCATATGAATAATAAATATATATTCAAATAAAAATATCAAAAAATCTTGATATCCAAAATCTCTAATTGTTACATCACGTAATGTTAGTATTATAGCCTGTCGAGATTTTGGATATCAAGATTTTTTGGTAAAACACCCAAAGATATGGCTTAAGTGAAAATATTAAGCCATAACTTTTTTAAAAAAACTATATTATATGTATAAATAATATATAGCCTTATTAAACAGTTTTTATATCTATAGTTACCACATCCAAAACCTTGGTACTAATTATAAATTATTAAATCTTATCATAATATTTTTATATAAAAGGATTATCTTATCTTCAAAAGATAGTTCAAATCATAATTTTAAGATATAAATTGTGAAATGCCCAAAAGGACCACCTTTACCAATATACAAAAGTGTGAACTTTGTATATATGTCCATGATAATAAAATGAATTAAATCTAGTATGTCGATTAGATAGAAAAAAAATGAAGTATTAGAGTTGATAAAAGTACAATTTCACATATTTTAAAACCAACAGATGAACAACTTAACTCTGAAATTGTTAATTCTGATGCCAAATATCATAAAGCAGTAATATACTCAGAACTTTACTATGCCCTAAAAGAGTTTGTATTGATTTATTAGAATAAAATAATTTTAAGTGATGCAATACTCATTGAAAAAGCCAAAGTACTTGCTAATAGTTTAGAAATTTCTGAGGGTACATTGCATTTTTTTCATGATGGCTTGATAAGTTTAAAGAGCAAAACAATATTCGTCAATATAAACTTGAAGGGGAATCAGAATCTGCTGATGAAGCGGTTATTATTAGCACCTACCAACTTTAAAAAACAAATGCTTCAACTATCCTATTGAGAGAATTTATAACATGGATGAGACAGAGCTTTTTTATAGATACAAACTTATTAATATATAGGTTTTTTTCTCGAAAATAACTTATAAGGCATAGTAATTACTATGCATCATAAAGCAGCATTGTATATTTTAACTGCTTTAGATCCTGCTTTCTTCATTTATATAATACAATTCTACTATCATTGTCTCTTTCTTTCCTATTATCGTCATCTCTTTTTTTCTATCATCGTCATCTCTTTCTTTCTTTTTACTTCCTTTACTACTTTTTTCTGCACCTGCATTACCACTTTTTTTTGCTTTTTTTTTCTTATGTGAATTTTTATCTTCAGTGGAAAAGTCTGCGTCAAATTCTGGATCTGAAATATTAAATAGGTTTAAAGCATCTTCTGACAATGCCTATCTTGAACAATTGGGTGGTGGCATTCCTGTCATATCAACCTCTCCTTCATAATGCTGTTTATATATTCTATTGTTCTTTGGCTGCAGTTGTTTCACAAATGGATCAATATGCTTATAGAATGGCCGTCTTAACTAAATATATAAGATGATAGTCTATTAATATAATATTTATACCAGTATAGTTTAATAAAGTAGATAGATTAAATTAACTAGCATTATAAATAATATACGTTGATAATAAGTCAACAATTCGAAAAACCAACTAAGCGCCAAGCCACCCTAACTAACAAACAGATCACATGAATCCATTAACTACTAGACTGAGCCACATACGATATGTTACTATGTGCTACTAGCTCAGACTATAAATATGTCACACTTATATGCATCAACTTTAACCCAGAACGTTTTAATGTTAAGGTCTTTCTACAATAATAGAAATAACCTTGGTGACAATAGACAAGCCAACAGCTTCGACAAACCAAAGCACTCCTGCTACTAAAAACACAAATCCTAGTCTTAGTTTGCCCAATATTGACTCAAACACAAAGATATACATTGAGGCTGCATGTCAAGCTTTGTCAAACATGATTATTAGCACTATTAAAGAATATATTGACCAAACATTAGATGCTTATATGGTGTTGATTAATAAGCTCAATAAATGTATTGACTCTTCTCTCAACCAGCAAAAGCAAAACCCACAGCTAACTCACTCTACTTAGAACCCGCAAGACACTACTGCAACACATAATTATATGTTTAATTTGTCTAGCCCTCAACAAATTAACAGGCCCAATAATAGCAGCAACACATAACAAGGTAATTGTTCACTAACTTCCCTGTTAAACAATCACTTGATTGATACCAGCAACTCCAGCCAGTACAATGAGAGAGATACAACAACCCAGGCAACATCCCATACCAATAAAGCAATAAAGATTAAAACTACAACACGAAAGTTCCCTTTTTTTGAATACATAGAGGACTTATCTCCTGTTGATAGCTTTAGTAACCCTATTGCAGCCTATACAGAAAGGATTTGCTGTAATGGGTTTTAAATTGGTCTGACAGACAAAAGAGAATTGAGACAATGCCCTACAAACCAAATCTACCATCACGCCTATGGAAAGCTATCACTCTGGGTTCCTACATTGACCTCAACAAATTTATCCAAAGAAATCTAAAATCATACCTAAACAACGAAGAGAAGCAATCTTTGTTGTTAGCTGATGGGAGTGCTATTGTAATATATAAACACAACTGACATCAAAGATTCAATGATATCACAGAATGGCTTTTAGCATTCAGTTCCTATATGAATGCTGTGTTAATAATATATGATATAAGAAAAAAGGAACTAAATGAATACTGAAACCATATAAGTGCTCTCTGTATAAAACAAGAGTTCGCAATGGTTCTCACCTATGATGAGGATTGAAGATTGTATCTCACAACAATCAAAACATAACATTACTAGACCGAAACCTGGAGACTAAGTGAGAAAACTTTGATGTGATTACCACAAAGAAGCCACAAGGGCACTATGCTTTACGATCTCTTAAGTCTGATCTAGCCTAGTATGATAGACGTCAGATATGCATAAACTGAAACAAAAAAACCTGTCCTGAAGAAGCCAATTGCTATCGTGTTTATGCATGCCTGGTGTGTAGAAAGCTTGGACATCCAGAGTGGAGGTGCTTCTACAACAAACATCTCAATACCAAACAACCGGTCCCTACTCATCCAAGAACTAGCAGATAGCAATCTATAAAAAAAAAAAAAAAAACTACAGCAATATATAACAGTAATACCAAAAAAAAACAATTATATTAATAATAATAAGAATAATTCTAGTCAAACAAAATTGTATTCATAAAAATATCTTACTTATGTATACAGATATATATATATATAAAGTTCCATCTTTAAAAAAAAAAAAAAAAAAAAGGAAAAAAGAGAGAAAACTTAAAAATGTAAGAGTGTTTAAAGACTTACCTGGATACATATATATATGCTAAAGAAACAGTTATATATACACAGCGCACCTTCGATATAAACATAAAAAAAAAAATAAAAAAAAATAAAATAATAATAATAATAATACATACAGTAATAATGACAACAAAGATATGTATACATATATATATATATATATATTTATATATAAATATAAAAAACAAAGACATAATAAATTCAGACACATGCAAACAATCGAACAAAGGCAGACATACATTCAAAGCAGCTCGTCATCTATAGCATTGATTTACAATTAACAATGATCATCCCAATACCTACCCTTATAAAATTATCTAAAGCACAATTCAAGCACCCAATTAGGCACTTTGCACAATTTAAGCTTTCACAGACAATCACAACAGATGAGCATCTATTACTACAGTCAGTAAATGAGACCCTGATAGCCAAACCTCACCAAAACATCCTGCTGACACAGACAGAGACAGAGTTACTAGCACAATTAGATTCACAACATTTTAACATATAAACATTGATCAATATATTAGTCTTCAAGCAACTTACGATATCTTATCCAAACTAACCTTTCATTAACTACTTGATAAACAGCATAAAGAATGGTTTTAGGTTCAATTACAGAGGCCTCTGACAAAAAATAATCCAAGAAATTTTATAATTGATCAGCAGCAACCCACAAGCATTCCTTTATATATAAAAAATAAACTGGCAAATAGGCGCATTTGCGATCCTTTTAATAATAAAAACCCCTCCTGCGATCTTTTTCAGATAAATATATGTGTATTCATAGAAAAAAAGATCACAAATCCCAAAGCATACCAGGTTATATCTCACCTCTTATCCCCTTCAGAAAATAGTGTAAACTACAGAATTAATAAACTAGAGTTTGTGACAAAATATGAAACAATGACTCATACAGTCCAATAGATAAATTATTTGGAAAAGGGCTATACACTAGCAAAAATAGACATCAAAGATGCATATCACATCCTTTCTATATACTCTATAGATCAGATATTGCAAGACATTCAGCTTGGGAATGAACTGTATTTTGATAAGATCCTTGCTTTTGAAAACTGTGCCTCTAGCAGCATATTCTGCCATTTTGCTAACACCATTGCTTGGATTGCTTTCTAATTAGGAATTTTGGCTATAATCCACTATGTAGATGACTTTCTCATCATCATACCTTCAGATGGCTCCTGAGAGCTAAGCCAGTTCATACGTATACTTGATACTATTAATATTCTATACAAGGATATTAAGTTGGAAGGACCTGGTACAACTGTCACCTTTCTAGGTATAATGCTAGATACGATTGCAAGAACAGCCTCTATACCAATCCAAAAATGTGATAAGCTAACACTTTTATTAAATCAGTGGCTATCCAAAAAATGGTGCTTCTAGAAGGAACTTCAATCACTAGTAGGCTCCCTTGTTTGGGCATGCCAAGTAGTCTCACAGGGACAACCCTTCGTACAATGCTTAATTAGGACCCAGGACCTGCTCAGCAACCTCAAATACTATATAAGAATAACAGGGCCTATGAAATCGGATATCCAATAGTGGATAACTATATTACAATCATAATCAGGCATTCAGTTATTTCAAGACTATGATTGACACCAACTTCACATCTGCAATTTATATACAGACACCTCAAACATAGGTGGTAGAGCTATATATAACAGCCTTTAATTAGGACAAATCAATAGACCTTATATGAATAGGCATCCAAGTGCGGGAGTTCCTAACTATTCTAATCACAGTATACACATTTGCGCCAATATGAAAAAGAAAAAAACTGATCATATGGACAGATAACTTAGTCAACACTGAAGCATATTACTTAGGGTATTGCAAAAACCCAGACGTTAATGAGATAATTGCTGAAATATATAAAGTTCAAGTATCTAGAAATTTTGCCATAAAGCTGGAACACATTCTAGGATTGAAGAACATCGACGCTGACCTACTCTCTCGTAACAGACATAGAGAGTTTATTTTTAACAACCCCTTATTCCACTATCTTTAACCAAATGTTTCTGTAATATTCTTCAATCTAATTTCTCTCATCCTTTCTCTCAAACAATAGACATTGCCAATATTGCACCTTCCGAAACAGTCTCACCACTTATCAGCAATTTCAAAATAATTCTATTCAACAACTATACAGCTTTAAACAAGGCTGCCGCCTCTATACTTAGCGTTTCAACTCCTATCAAAAAATTATATGAGTCAGTTATCAAGAGATATGAATTATTGGCTATAGAGAATAATTAGCTTAATTAGAACAAATTTACGTGGCCTATAACAAGAGAATCTCTCATCAAATATATTATGTTCTTATATAAAAAAGTATCTCTACTAACAATCTTAACCTACCTATTAGCCTTAAAGTTTCATTATACAAGAAACTACTATGACTGAACACATGTACAAACCAATTTGTTAGTAATGCAGATCCTAAAAACTATTGAAGCAACCCACATACATATGCCAATAAAACAAAAAGCACATATTACCAGACAATATCTTCTCCATATCAAGTTAAGAATCAACATAAGCAACTCAATGGATTTTCTCTTTTGGGCAGTTGCACTTACCACATTTTATGGCCTAGCCAGGCTAGAAGAACTTTTACTAAACAACTAGGGTGATGAAAGCAAGGTTTCAGTATTTAAAGCCCTGTCTTTTGGAATAACAGAAAGCATCACATTTGCTATCATACAACTAACAAGAACAAAAAATCACAAAACAGCGCACAGAACATTGCTAATCATTAACCCAACTAATGATACTTTATACCCAGTATATACTCTTAAAAATTACATAAACCTACGATCACAACCTTCTTATACTAAGAACTGCACACTGCTGTTTGCCAAACCTGATAGTTCTTGGGCTACGAAAATATAGTTTATTACGAACTAAAGTTCTTTCTTCCAAACGAAAATGTGACAGGTCACAGTTTCTGAGCTGGTGGCACCACTGAGCTAGTAATATGTGGCGTCTAATTAGTCCTAATACAGAAAATCAGCAGATAGAATTCTGATACATTCTACCAATATATACAAAACCACATAGCCACAATTGACACCAATTTAGCAAAGGTTTACATTAATTAACCTCCTCTCAATAAGTGAAAACAAACCAAAAAAAAAGAATGTTAGTAAAAAAAAAAAAAAAAAAAAAAAAAAAAAGAGATAATAATAACTAAACACACAAATAACAATAATAAGGGTAGAAAAAAAACAAACAGGAAATAGTGACAACAAGCAACACCAAAAAAAAAAAAACTTATAGAAGAAGAAAGAAGTTTTGTCAAAAGAGAATGCCAGACATTAACTGATATCTACACAATGCACTGCATATTACAACAAGCAACCTTCAGTACAAGTCAACACAAAAGTACAATCAAAAAATACAATATGAGCAAGGATAAGCCAAACGACAATGCTTAATACATTTAATACATAAGCGCCAGTAAAGGTATCAATATCGACAAGTGCAGGTTGCATTAAATATATACATATATATATATATATATATATATATATATATATATAATA